GATGCTAAAGACCCTTAGTAGATTGCGTAGAATCCGTAGCCTACAGACTCGTAGGTATAAAACCCATTCTCTCGCTCATTTTCCAAACATTGGAAACTGTGCGAGTCGCATTTAGAAGTCTTCGCTTCCGGTTATAGCACTTCTCAGTTGACACCGTTGCGACTTAGCACTCTTTCGCCTCCCTCGTCCCTCTCGCCTGTGTCAAGCTCCCTATTGTACATATCTTTTTCATTTTGGCCATGATCGCATGTCAAGGACGTCATCTCGCAAGGACGTCATGTCACACGACATGGTCAGGGCCGAGTATTGTTGCAAAGGGCCGCCCTTTGCATGCGCCTCTCTTGGATGCGGGGCACATCATTAAAGTACTATGGGTCCGCCACATCACCGACGTACTTCCGAGGTGAAATGGTCAAGGAACTTGAATTAGGAAAAAGGATTAATGCTTGAGGATGAGTGCCGCTTAGATTTCTCTGGTCTAGTGGATGTTTCATAGGATGAGGTACAAAGGGCTAGCTTCATGCAGCCTTCATGCAGAAATCCCTGCGTTCCAGCTTCAAGCTCTCATTCTCTCATGCATGCTTTGCATTCGGATTGAGAGTCTGAGCGACTCTCCCCACATGCATGCCATAATGTGCATTGTCGGAGCCGACGGTCGGCGGCGGCCGCCTTCCGATGCCGCCGCGCCCGGCTTTCCATTCGTACATGCTTGACACCTTGCACATAAATGCCGAGGTAATTGTGTACGAATTACCTTACTCCGCCAATGATGAGCAGCATGGACCTTAAAGTGGCCAGGACCATCTACCGGGTCAGAATCAGGCAACTTGCCACTTATTTTAGAAACCAGTGGAAAGCCCCGTGCCGACACCCAATTTCCTGATGCCGACAAATCTGTAAACTTAAATGATTTGCGGGATGTCAGCCGATGCGCGCGTGACAGCTTCTTGTCAGCCGACATCAGCGTGACAAAATACCGTAGTTTCAGCACACTAGCCTATGACTAGCTGAGTCTGGTGTGGGCCCACTCAGAGTCTCAGACTGAAAACAAGCGCAGATTCGCAACTTTTAAGGGCCAAGATACGGTACTTCGATAAGTACATCAGGACAGGTGAATGGGTACTGATATACCGGTAACGGAGTCATGCAAGCCCGCACTCATACGTACCTATATGACCTGCGGGCACGGAAGTTAGGGCTGCAGTACCTGGTGGGTCACGGCCCAGGCCGTTCTGCGACCTCTGTCTGGGCTTCTGATCTGCGGCGAAGCGGAGTGGTACCGGCCATGATCATGCAGTCGCCCAGATGTGAGATGCTGAAGACTACAAAAGTAGGTAGGTACTCCTAGTCGAAGATGTCCTGACATCAAGGCAGGAAAGGCGAGGCGATTGGGCATCCAGTGCACGTCTGTTCAGTCTGATTGCAGAGTGCAAGTCGGCTAGTGCTATCACTGTATCGGTACAAGCATCATACAGCAAAGTCCGGCCCTGTATACGGTACGCGCCAGCCGAGACCTAAGGTACGTTTTCAACTTCCGAGAGTTGAAGTGGTACCGAATACTGGCCCCCAATTTCATTAATGATGGCTTTCTGAGCACAATGTAGACCAGTAGGCTAGCCGGTAGCAGGCCATGAGATCTCTTGAAGATCTAGGAACAGCAGAGAGGCATGATGGACTTGGATCCGCAGGGTTTGTTTCAGATTTGTTGGCCAGTTTAATGGCCCAGCCAATTGCAAGGACTTGACATTGGTTTAATAGCCCACGCTCTAACTTTTAAGGTATGGTCTGGCAAAGAATCTTCAAAGAGGCTCGGGCTTCAACCTCTTGGTGTTGCCTTCTGGGGGCCTTTTGGATCCGAGTCATTGATGGTGTCATCTCTGAATCTTTAGTGAAGTTATACAAAAGTTGACAGCCTGAGGCATTTGAGCATTCATTCCAAATTCAAAACTCCCTCAGCGAGCAGCTAGTTTCCCCTCTGTGGAGAGAAGGATCCAAGCACCAAGCTCCTTCATCGCTTCCAGCTCTGAGCTGTGTCAACGGTGCCAAAGGTGAGCTTGCCGCGCGCTCCCTTCCTTCAGCTCATGACAGTGATGAGAAGATGCAGGCTGTGACGGGCACTGTCGCATGTGGACTAAAGCAGATGCTGCCACTGTGTAGTCATGTGCAGGTTTTGTACATGCTAAGAATCAGCTGGGTATGTTGGGCTTGTTACTGCATAGCGGCATCTGCCATCGCCCTTACCTGTATTCATCCTGGCCACAAGTCCTCTGTGACTTTCTTTTCTCTTGCTTCTTCCTGTTTTGCACCACACCCGTCTGTGCAGATTGGCACAGCTCTCCAGCTGATCGCCCCCTTACAAAGCATTGTCCTAGATATTGACAAATCTGACCAGAAGTCCTGCTGTAATCGAACTCAAAAGATGCAGAATACGTGTCGGGGGCTAAAGTGTTGCAGACCACGTCCCAAGCTTTGAGACTCTTTGGTGGGAAGCGGGCTTCTGTCGATCAAATTCAGCATGCATCTACCACCATCTCAGCTTGCAATGCTAATCACCCTGATTCGGCGTTTGCGTTTCAGCTGTTAAAGCACTCGTTGTTTTCATTGTGGGCTTACTGATCACTCACTATGAGGAACTGGGTATGTCACGAGGCGTACACTCCATGGATTCCACTTTCAGCGTGCCTTTCTATGCAACCACCCTATAACACTGCATCCAATTGAAAGCCCTTCCTCCTTTCTAGTAGGTTCCAATTTCATTGGTCCGCTCCCGCACATTCCCGGTCAACTTTACATCTGCCGCCGCATCACAAAAGGCGAGTTATAAAATGAGGAGACCCCAATGCGCGAGAGAAAGCCTGGCGCACATTGTGCCCACAATCAAATTTGTTGCAAAGTCGGAGCTGGTTTCAAATAAGAGTCAGATGCGCTTCGCTTCTTGTGATTGAACGTATTGTTGCATGCATCGTGTTGCCCGGTTTTGCTTGTTCTTGCACATGTGAGTTGATTACTGAAACGAACCCATGCAGCCCTCCGGTGATAAAAAAAGTAGTCACTTAGTCAGGTATGCAGACTGGTTTCGCCAGGAATTGATTTCCATTTTCAACGACCTGTCCGAATATCAAAGAGTTGTCTGCTGACTGTGCAATATCCATCAGATGTAGAAGTTCATTTCCCAGCAACCGCAAATGAGCTGTCATGAGTCTCAAGGTACGACAGGGGTTCCCAAGTTGGTCTTTTCTTGACACGGCCGTTATGGCTTTCTTGCTTGACTCTCAGCTCCCCTTCTTCTTCTTCACAGCATTTAGACATTTCATTACCAAGCCTTCAAGATGACATCAGCAGCATCCCTCCTGAGCTTTGCTCTTTTCGCCAGCCTTGTCACCTCAAGTGAGCCCCCCCAGTCTGTCCCTCTTGATCTCTTCCAATCAGAATGCTGATCGTATAATGATCACGGACTGTGCATGCAGGACCAGAGTCAGGAGACCTTTCTCTTGTCTGGGGTGAAAACGAACTCAGAAAAGAACTGTGGTTGTCCAAAAGGGACCTATGCTGGGGGGCTCTGCAGGGCTTTCTCAGGGGGGCAATCTGGAAAGCGCAGGCCTGAACGTGAGACTCATACGCAGACTTCTTGGCTATCACCTTTTACAGTGCATGCATGCAAAGCCCCTTCCTTCTCGCAATCACCTTTGAGACCACCCCAAGACTTCGTTAGCACCCAAAACCCACTATCTAGTCACCCATCTTCTTTGACATTAGTTCGTGTAACGCTTCCTAGGGCCTTAACAGAGTCTAACCCAGGTCAATCAGCCAGCTCTCTTCCTCTTGCAGGTCTGAGCGCCCAGGTTCAGTGGGCAGGACGCACAGTGAGTTACCTTCTCTCCCCCCAAAGCACCACAACGGCATTCGATCTGCCAAAGACTGAAGTGCCCATTTCTTGCCATCTTCTCTATTTCGTTCCAGCCTCATTCCACGTTCTTGTCCGTTGCGACTTGCTTGGGACTCTTCTACTCTCAGTCTTCTTTTGTGAACTGACGCAGATGTTTGCTCCTTTTTGGAGTACCTTTCTAATCCACCCCCTTCAGCTCCTGAGAAACTTTTTGCCCCTCCTTTGCCCCCCACTCCCGGAATACTTTTGCGAGCTCCCCATCAGTACTAGCGCTCTATTCCCAAGTTTCGGCATACGCCAATCGTTTTGTAAGCACGCGTGATGTCCCCCATCCCTCAACCCTCTCTGTCGTTTGCAGTGGAATATTCGCAGCACCAACGGCGGTCTAGAGGGTCCCGGCCCGAACTACTTCTCCGACTCGACGACCAACGTCTTCGTCAACAGCGCCGGCGCGCTGAGACTGCAGGTCACCAAAACCGCTGGGGCGTGGGTCTGCGCTGAGATCATGTCGCCCAATAGTTTCGGCTACGGCACGTGAGTGGCACGGTGCCAGTCTCTCTTCGTGCAGGACTATAACTGGATAATTGTTGTCAGGTTCAAAATATAGCTGTTCGTTGGTACAGGATCTCACTCTTGCGCCGGGTATTTTCAAACTAGCTATAAGCGACTAGGGCCTGATTGTGCTCCTTACTCCCCGTTCATCCCCCTTCTGTGACCCGCGGTGCGTGACTTTGTCCCTGACATTGTCTCGGCCTGTTCATGTGGACTTCAGTGGTATCCTCCAAAGCCAAATCCCTCTGATTGAACCCTGCTTTCAAACCTGTTTCCGCAGCTACGGATGGAAAATCTCTTGCCGGTAACCTCAACCCCAGCGTTCTTCTCTCGACTTCCCGTAAGACAAACTCCAATCGTCTCCTCCTTCCATCAAACCCGTTCATTCATACCCAGTTTGCAAAACACGGTTTTTCGCAGCTACGAACGGAAGATCACCTCCGGCGCTGGTAACCTTGACCCGAACGTCGTTCTCGGCCTTTTCACGTACGACGACAACGCAATCCGTCCGCCCTCCACCTAAAGCTTCCTTTAACCTCTTCTCAAACCGATTCTTTGCAGCTACGAATGGAAGATCACTTCCGGCGCCGGTAACCTTGACCCAAACGTCGTTCTCGGCCTCTTCACGTACGATGATAACCCCGATCAGGCCCACCGTGAGATCGACATCGAGATGGCCCGTTGGGGGCTGACCCCGGCTCAGGACGGCTCCAACGCGCAGTGGGTCGTTCAGCCATGGGACGGCACGAACCATCTTCAGGCGAGCCCCGATTTTGATTCCCGTCTCGGTCCTTTCATTCCGCTTCCGCTTCCGTTGCCGGTCTTACTCTCCGCCGGTCGGGCACGGAACTTCTCCCTTCCCTTACGTCACTTCGTTTTCGAAAGAACGAAGCCAATTGGATCGTTCAGCGATGGGACGGCACGAAGCATCTATAGGCGAGCTCCAATCTCTGGCCTCTCGTTCCGGTGTTAACCACTTTTGCACACCAAGTGCTGCCTTTTCTCGCTTGGGTTAAAAGTCGAACTGCCCACTAACCCCCTCTTTCTCATGTAGAGGTGGCTGATACCCAGCCCTCCCCCATAATCGCGTTCTCCATTAACCCTACTCAGAGCATAGTAAAAGCAAACCGCCCACTAACCCCGCTGTTTCTCGTGCAGAGGTGGCTGGCGCCCAACCCTAGTTCCACCTCCCCCCTGATCGTCTCCTACAAGTGGATCCCCGGTAAAATTTACTGGGCGGCCAGTCAGAACGGCCAGCTCATCAGCACCAAGAACTACACCGCCGCCGACGTGCCCACCCCCGGCGCGGAGATTATTCACATCAACCTGTGGCTGTACCAGGCGGACCCGAACGTCGTGGCGGGGCCGAAAAACGGCAAGACGGCGTCAGTTCTCCTGTCGGACTTCGATTTCACACCGTATTAGGCCGGCGGTTTTGGTGTGCTAAACCCGGATTTGCGGTTCGCGAGATGAGAGCTGAGGGTTGAATTTACCAGATTCCACGGTTGGACTACTTTATGGGGTTGAGGGTTTGAATACGAAGTCAAAAGGATTTTAGAGCGGGTTGACATCCAAACGGCTGGTCTAAGCGAGAGAAACGGGCAAAGGCTTCCTCGTACAGGTTTACCCGGTTGGTGTTGTACGGCGTGTTAAACGGCGGATGACAAGAATCCGATTTTCAAGGGACCAAACCCTTGCGTCAGAAGAGTTTACGCTAATCCTTTAGCGGCAGCTTGTACAATAGGCCTTGCTAAGAGTTTCGAGATTTTCTTTTGGATCTGGGGATCGGGGTGCGATAGGGAAACAGCGGGAGTGATGCCTTCGGATGGAGACGAGGTTTCAGGTTTTCAGCTTGTGCAATATTGTTCTCTTCTTTCAGTGTAAGACGTCAAACGGAGCGTTAAAGGAGCGTTGCTAGTGTAGAATTCGAGTGTTGGAAAACGGATCTGTAACTGCCTTGCTGGCAGTCGCGGTTCGGTGCTTGACGCCCGCGCAGCGGATGAGAGCTTGCCGCACGCAAGATGAAACCGCAGCAACATGTTTAGCTGTGCCTCGAGCCTTTTGTCTTGAAAAGAACAGCCTTCTCTAAGATGAATTCTAGGTTTATTTATTGCGTCAGAAACCTCCACACTTCCGCAGCTACACATGAGGCATTTTTATAGGGAAAGCTTAGGTCACCTTCTGGCACTAGAACTTGCATGCGCTGGTACTCAGCTTAGGAAAGGCGACCCGCTAGAGTTCTACTAGCTGTACAAGTTGCTAGCTCCCGCGTCAAAAATCTTGGCCAAAACTTTTGCGCTGTAGTCAAACCCTTCAACTCGCCTTTGCGATCTGACATGCATTTGGCAAGCTAGCTAGGTCATACTAAGGTACAGATGTTGACGTAGACTTTGAGCCCGTTGAAATTTTGATAAATATTCTTAAAACGCTCAGCCTGTAATTCAAAAGATGATGCACATGCATGACCGTCGGATCATTGAGTTGATCGATCGTTTGCAACTTTTGGTGGCATAGGTATGGGTATGATACACTGTTGTACCATCTGCATGGCACTCGGTTCTGATCTGTAACTAGCTTCATGATCGACCACGTACGTCTATAGGTAAGTCTTTACTGAGCCTGGAGCTAGAGCATGATGCACGAATCTGTAAGTTACTAGTATACGTTTGGATATACTTGCGTTGACTGCATAGTATGCTCAGCATGATGAGCTGTGCAGATTGATGCGCTGTTTTATTGTAAACGCGCCGGCCGCCGGCCAGTACGTTCGCCAGGCGCGGAGAAATTAGAATACCCTTATATGCGTGGGTTAGATGTCCCATGCAGCTAATCGAATATAACGGCATCATTCTGAGGTGGGGTCCCACTCACAGCCAAGTGGTAGAGAGGAAAAAGGAAATATGAGGAGAAAAAGAGTGGAAAAGAAGAGAGAAAAGTGAGACAAGCAGAGGGATAGACGAGCCAGGCAGTCAAGAACTTTTCTTTTAAAGTGCAAAGTATGAATCTTAAATATCCCATTTGACTGTTCGATGCACTTGTTGGATCCCTGTGGCCGTCCGATTTCACACAAGTCCAAAGGTGACGATAAAATGACGTAGCATTGAAATATATTTGAAGTGGCTCGGACCCGGTCTGCGATCGACACGTGGTCCATTTGACACGCGGCCCAATCAAATTGCCGGATTTTATGTCATGTCGCATACTGAGTGGGACCGATAAGCTTCATGTGACCTTTACGTACACATTGCTGAACGGATGAGTCCAAATCTGTACACTGCTGAAGTTGAATTCACTTGTACTACAGCGCATTGATTAGTAAATTCAGCGACGACTGCTGCTTGTAGACTCATATTATGTGTTTTTCGGAAACGGCCCAATCCATATATCCTACGCTCGTTGTGCTACCAAATCCTGCTCGATGAACTGCAAAGCCTTCTCCTGGTTGATAACATTGACCACACTGACACGGTTCTTGTGCGAGACCCCGTACACTTTATCCGCCACCTTTACAAGCTCCGGCCGGAACGTGGTCGTGATGAATTGCGTCGGCGGATCGGCTTCCGTCTGTTTCCGGACCATTTCGCCGACGGCCGTCCGATACTGGGGGTCGAGCGCAGCGTCGATCTCGTCGAACAGATAGAAAGGGGCAGGGTCGCACCGTTGGATGGCGAAGATCAGCGCAAGCGCGACGACCGTCTTCTGGCCGCCGGAGAGCTGCTTCATGGACTGCGTTTCGCCGTGACCGCTGAAGGAGACCTGCAATACGACGCGTTCGATGATGTCACACCGAGCAGCATATCGGCAGCAGTTGCCCTTTACAGCACGCGAAAAACGTGGCAACTTTAGCTTAAGCGTTGCACTTGAACCTGCGATCGTAGTCCACCGGCTGGCTGCAACCACTTCCGCTGACAGAAACAGGCGTGATAGAGAGGAACGAGGTCACTCAACCAAGCAACAAAGCAGCCAAGCAGCCAAGCAAGTATTGACCTCTCAGGGAAGGGGCTACAATTTTGTCAAAACAGGCTTGCAGACTGAATTTGCAGCATTGATATGTTGCTAGCATTGCATGTTGGCCGGTCGCATTTCGAGGAGGCCACGCAGCAAACTCCCGCAGATCTTCTCCAAGTGAATCACTAAAGCCTTCGACTGCAGACCGAAAACCCTGCGTTTTTGAAGTCCTAGACTAGGCTCCGGAGCTGGACTTTGCGACCTTCTGTTTCACATTCTGTACTGTGTAGTCCCGCTGTCTCCCATACAGCCTGGCTTTACGCTTTCCAACTGTGACAAAAAAACGACGTACTTTCACTCGCACAGCCAACCAGTGCCATACCGCTGTGTGACAAACATCGCAGATACGAACTTTCTCGGAGATAGGAAGAAACGACGTACCTTGACTCGCACGCCCACATACTTCTCCGCCGTGTTCGTCGCCTCGTCCTCCTCACCGTCGCCGTCCTCTGCGTCTGCCTCGTCCGTCTGCGACACCCGACGGACAAACGAACGTCAACGGAACGGAACGACAGCAGAACGGAGAAGGACTGGAAGGGGGCCCAAATTTCATGCAGCAGCATGCGTTGCGGATTGTAAGTTGCATGTTAAGCGCGCATGGTATTGAATTTCTAACGTGCGTTCTTCAACTTTATTCCGAGCTTGCCCCAAAGGTGACTCCGATCGCTTCGGTGCGTACCGTTGAACCCGTGCCGTGCTCCACACGAAAGTTTGTCAAACAAGGATCGTAAATGCGACCTCGACGTCAATGATGCGACCTTGGGATGTACGATTCATTACGAGGACGGACGTTCGTGGAGCTTCGTCCCAATACTCAGTTCCACATACGAAAACTCGAAAACAACCTGAGACGCGAGTAAAACGTTCTGCCCCTCACCTTTCGCCGCTTCTTTTGCATGACGAGCGACGCGCTCCCGCCCGGCACCAGCTCCGCAAAGGCCTCCTTGAAATTCTTCGCGACGCCCTTGAACGTCAGCTCGATCGCCTCGTCCTTTCGGGCGTCCAGGACGTCGATCAGGTCGCGGATTTTCTGCAACCCATCAAGAGCCAGGTTCAGCAGACTTTGGCTTGCCGATATCAATCCTCCAAGGCACGGGAGATGTTTGAAGAGACAGAGACGGGTACCAGTCTCCTCTCTTAGTACCATGGTCACGTACAATTCGACAACTCTCAAAGAAGGGTACTAGTGGCCGTTATTTCTCCTGCTAAATCTAGCAGCTTGCTTGACTGGAAAGGCGTACGCACCAGGGATAAGAGAAACCGGGCTGTACTACATGTCTTTCGGCATTAGCACTGTAAGCAGTATTACGGCACATTCCAAGCTTAACGTCAAGGTAGAGTCTTTGATAAGCGTGCAGAGCTATCGTTAGCAATCTCGATAGCAAACGGGAATTGCAAGACACTTCAGTGCAGGCCATTGTATGCCATGGCCACGTAATTGGAGAAGTCAACGCTATGACTGTTTCGGCCCCCCACCTCGTCGCCCTTGTCTAGTTCGTCCTGCCGCCTGCGCAGCTCCTCTCGCTGCTCGGTGAAGTTGACGTACTGGTCGAGCGCCTTCTTGTTCACGTGGCTCAGCTTCTTGAGCTCCTCGTTCTTGTCCTTGAGCAGCTTGTGCAGCTTCTTCGCGCTCGTCTTTTCGTACCTAAATAGGGGGTCAAGCAACCGGGTTAGGCATGCTTAAGCACCAGACCAGATACTCTGAGCTTCCTTGTAATTTACCTTTGAGAAGCTTGTGCAACTTCTTCGTACTCGAAGTAGCATACCTAGATAGGAGGTTAGAGAACCGGGTTAGGCATGGTTAAGCACCAGACTTGAGCTCTCGCTTTCATCCTTGAGCAGCTTGTGCAGCTTCTTCGCGCTTGTATTCGCGTACCTAATCAGGGCGCCAAAACCCGGGTTAGAGAACGGGTTAGGTGTGGTTAGATTCGATCATGAACGTGACCTCAGCTCTTCTTGAGTGGGAGTGACTCTGAGCTTCTCGAGATGTCCACGAGCTCCTGCTTCACGCTCCTTGCATACCTGCAAAAGATCTTGAACCTAACTTGAAAACCACTCATTGGCATGCTTTAAGCTCGTCACGGCCATTTTTCAGCAGCTTGTGCAACATCACCAATCTGGTACCCTTCTGCCGAATCTCGAGATTGCGAAACCAAGTCAATGAAGTTGAGAATACCCTGCCGACGCGTGAACAGAGGGCTTCAGATCAGCTTGAGCACTATTCTTGTGATGCAAGTGACTGTGCCAAAGCAAGAAACGGATGGTGCGCCTCAAACACTCCCGCATACCCGACCGCCATTTCCAACAACTAGGGAACACTCACTTTGTTCCACGGGAAAGAGTTCCGGGTGCGGTGGTGTGTGCACCGATGCGCAAGTTGATACATGAGGATTCGGCCCACAACTGAAAATTACTCCTGGCTAAGCGCACTCAACATCGTTCTGAGAAGAATAGAAGCACGGCCTCACTTGTGCTGGTAAGCCTCCTGGGGGAGCGACCCGAGGTCCCGGATCTTCTTGCTCAGGTTCTCGCGCTGCGTCTGGAACAGGTTGCGCTTGTTGCGCAGCGCCTCGAGCTCCTTGCCCTCGTCCTGAATGGCGCGGTCGTCTTCTTCCAGCGCGCTCCGCAGGTCCTCGTGCGACGCCTTGAGCTGCCGCACGGAGGCGGACACCGACGCAACCTCACTCGCAATCTCTGCAGAGCGTAAAGATTGATTCAGAATGGCAGAATTGCGAAGGGCAACGGAAGCTTCATGATTTGGAAAATCGATATTTCGGCAAGTTGATCAGAGTCTATTGTGAATAAGCAGGTCCTGGTTGTAGCGCATTGGCAGCCTCTGTAAAGCGAGCGAAAATGTCGCCGCAAATGCGTGCCTCAGCAGACTTTGCAGCGCGCCGCGCAGGTCCTCGTGCGACGCCTACATTTGCCTCACGGTTGCGGAAACTGCCGCCACCTGGCTCGCAATCTCTGCAGAAGCAAACGGGCAATTGATAACAGTAGGTTAAGCGTCTGATTTGAATGGTCCAATTAGTACTCTATGGGGCTGTGCAGGTCCTCGTGCGACGCCTTGAGCCGACGCACGGACGCGGAACCCGCCGCCACCTGGCTCGCAATCTCTGCAATGCAAGAATATTGTGTAATTGTCAGACACAATCGAAGTGCAATTCTTACGGAGACTTCTCCTACTCTTCTTGGAATGTGTTCGGGACGCGGGAACCGGCGCCACCTGGCTCGCGATGTCTGCAGGAGCACGAAGTTGGTAACTTCTGGAAGACTTGAAGAATGAAAAGATCTGGGGTTCAACGTTGCACGCTTCGCTGCGAAAGGTTCCAAAATAAGACGTAAGCTTCATCATTTTTACGACCGTTTCCAGTCCTCGCTCGATGGTCCCGAGACAGCAGGCACAGTCACTTCGTGAGTGACGACTGAACCACCTTGAGCGCACGTGCGTCAGCCGCCCGTCCCCCAGGCCATCGCCGAAGGACCGCAAAGCCGAACGGCTGTCGTTCCTCACCCGCTTGGTGCTGCGACACCTCTCGGATCGCGGCTTGGATCGTCTGCAGGTCCCGCGTCTTGGCCGCCAGCTCGTCGGCGCTCGACTCCGTGTTGATCGCGGCCAGGCTCGCTTGCAGCTCTTCCTGCCGTTTGCCCAGGTTCGTCGTGAGTATGCTCTCGAGCTCGCTCCGCCGCGCCTCGTACTGCAGAAGTCAGCGGTTGAAAGTCAGGTTCACAAGTCTCTTGGCTGTAGGTATGAGGCCTTGGGGCTCTCGATATTCTTCTGAGAGACAGTATCAGAATAGCCTTAGTTACAGCAGAACTTTGCTGCAAAGCATTTTTTCCAGTACTACGGGATATTTTCCGCCCGGATTGCGGCGATAGATGTTCTCACCTCCATCCGTTTCCGGCGGATTTCCACCAGCTGCTGCTTGAGTTCCGTCACTTCCGGATTCAACGCCTGCAGCTCCGCCGTCTCGTCTCGGCTCAGCTGACCCAGCAGCTCGCTCCCAATCTCCGCCTCCAGCGCCGCCACGCTCTGCTCCAGCTGCGCCAGGCTGTCGCGCATGCTGACGAGCGCACGCTCCTGCGGGGTGACGTCAGCGGTTGCGTCAGTCGAGACGACCTCACGTCATGATGGCAAGGTTGTAGAAATGGTCTACGTTGAAAGCGTCGCTCATTTGCGCGAGTGAGGTGATGTAATTTCGGAACAGAGTCGCTTTCAAGAAAGTTGCACGAAAGAGCGGCTGTCCAAAGATGCTACAAGGCTTGTTCCTTGAGCTAGTCGAGCGCGGCTCCTCAAGAAGGAAAGAGTCGCGCCAGTCAGCTTTGCCTTTGCTGACAGGCAGAGGCATTTCACATCTACTGCTTGGGTTTGCTGTTTGCGTTTTCCTTCAATCTCTTTAGAGTTCCCTCCAGTCTTTGGAACTACATACCAAAACACGAGAAGAAAAACACATTAATGTATGTCCCTACAGGTTAGGGATGGATTGGAAGTTGGAGACGAGCACTTGAGATGGTTGCAACATCACCGTCGTCTCGAGCCGGAGTCTGTTCATCTGGTCGGCCTGGCTAACAGCATGTGTTTTCGCTCCGTTTGGTTTTCAACTTTGGAACGAGAAGAGGGATATATCCCTAGGTATCCTGGACGGTTGGACTATGCATTCGAAAAGGTTGCGCCACTCACCTTCTTTTCGAGCCCAGCTTTATTCGTCTGGTCGACCTGGCTGGCGGCCCGCAGGTCCTGCCGCGCCTGCTCGAGGCGCTCGCGCACAAACGAGCGCTGCGCCTCCAGCTTCTGCATCTCGCCCATGATGACCGTGATCTTCTGGTCGACGCGTGCAGCGGAGTCAAGGAAATGCAATGGAGACGCGGAAAGACTCTGCCAAATGTGCTCAGAGAGACTGACTTGAAAACAATGATCAGACTTCTGATCGTAGCACAACGACCGTGATGTTCTGGTCCATGGGTGCAGCGGAATCAAGGGGATGCAACGGGGACGCGGGAAGAATTTGCCTTACTAAATGCAATCAGGAGAAAACAGCTGGACAAGAAGGTACCCAAAGCAAGAAGCAAAATATGACTTCGAAATAGTGCCCGTGATCTTTTGGACGACGCGTGCAGCGGAGTCAAGGGAATGCAATGGGGACACGGAAAGACTCTGCCGGAGTTGAAACACGAGAAGACAGAAAAGCTGGACAACAGTGATGCTGGATGCAGTGAGCAGAGTTCAACCTAAGACGATGATTGTGATCTTCTGGTCCACGCGTGCAGTGGAGGCAAGAAAGTGCAAAGAGGATGGAAGAAAGAGATTGCCGAACTTAACAAGCTCAGGCGGACTCCTGGACGGACGAGAAGCTACCCGAAGCAGTGTGCAGTCTTCGAACTCGAGATCCATCTTCGAATGACAACAACCAGGAAAATCAATCGCCTCGACTGTCAAAAAGAGAAGACCTGGAGGGGACGCAGAGAAAGACAGAGCCAGACTGCACTGGACAAAGGATCGCTACCGGCCGTCAACACATAAAACCAAAGTCGCAGGCACGGAGTTCAATCAAGCGAACTCTACTTCGAACACCGAGCGAAGATTCCAACAGCCAACGTTGTGGAGGATATTTTGAATTGACGCCGTGACGGTCTTGAGCTCCGCCTGCAGCGCCTGGCTCTTCTCCATGGCGTTGCGGATGCCCTTGATCAGCTTGAGCCGCGAGAAGCGCGTGTCGTGGTAGCCCCCGGTCATCGCGCCCTTCTTGTTCACTTGGTCGCCCTCCAGCGTGACGCAGTCCAGGTTGTGCTCGCGCGCCGTCTTGGTGGCGACCTCAATGTCGCGGCAGATGGCCGTCTTGGAGAAGACCTGGCAGGAGGAGATTGGCACAAATGTCGTGAATATGGTGAATATTCATTCGTCCGGCAGAGTGCAACGTGCTACAAAGGATCTGTCGGGCAAAGAGGGCCAGTCCAGGTTGTGCTCGCGCGAGATCTTGGTCGCGACCTCGATTTCGCGGCAGATGGCCGTCTTGGAGAAACCTGGCATGACAATCGGTCTTTTTCCAGTTAGAATGAGTGCAATTTAAGTGTCCCTGTCCCGAAGCCTGAGTCCTTGACCCTGAAACCTGCATCGCGCAACAATCCTGGCGCAGAAAGAGGGCGGCAGCTTCGGCTAAGATCAGGCCAATTAGTACCCCCGGCCCCGCGTTCCGGTCCGTTATGGTTAGGTGGTTCTTCTCGCGGAGTTCTGGTAATCTAGACCACATTCGGCGAATCACTCGGCAAAGTGCCGCTTTTGGAAAAGATACAATTATTGAGAAGGCGGAAACCAGCAGTAAATTCGGCAGTGATTGCCGTGATGTGAAATTGTAGACGCATCTTGAAAGCTCCACGGTTTCAGGCTTTGCAGAGAATCATACAGAGAAGAGTTGCGGAGATCAAGATAGTCACTTTCGCGTCAGACAAGCAATTTACCGGGAAAGACAGATCTGACCGACCGAGCTTTCAACTTGACTGCTTGCGCTAGAGCCAGCTCACCTGGGCGAAGGCGTTTCTGAACATGGGCTTGTAGTTGATCTTCTCCATGATTGGCACGACGTCAGGGCTGTTGGGATAGTCCACCCTCTGGTTGCGCAGACGGCTCAGCGGCATGAAGGTGACCCGCCCGCCTTTCTCGCGGTTTAGCCGTGCCACGATCTCGGTGGCAATCTCGTCGTTATCCACGATCACGTGCATCAAGCTGCAAGGCCGGCCGAGGGAAAGATGGTAACTCGATTGATTGGCTGATTTAACCCAGCTAGCTTTCTCTTGGTAATCTGCTTCGAAAGGACGGTCATCTGAATGCTCGGTAAGCAGATGGCTTTGGTTAAAGAGCACTCGAGGGAGAGCAGCTCATGCTAAAACACGTCAAAATTGCCAGGCATGAACTATCGGCAATCGGTAGCAACCACGTGACAAACAATCTGCTTACATTTGTTTGCATCGAGCGTAAGCTACAAACGTAGGTCTGAAAGAGATTAATGCACACACTGAGGGCGCATTTCTTGCCGGTAAAGTAATCTGCCCTGAGAAAGCACGTCAATTTGCTCAACCCAGATTGAAGAACGCACCTGTTGCCAGCTGCGACTTCGACGGCCGTATTGAACTTGTCGTCGCACTCAATGTTCTCCAGCAAGGTGCCGTGCACGCCCGAGATGTGGTGGTCCGACACAATCCTCTTCACGTTCTGGATTCCCCGCTGCAGGTCCTGCAAGATGCACCAAGCAACGCCGCATGAATATTATTCGTCTTGTGCAATTTCTTGCTTCATTGAGCACACAATCCGGGCGCTTTGACTTGGTGAAGGCAGCGCTTAGTCAGCTCGTCGTGACAAGGGAGAAACGACCATGGCAGGCGGTTTGCAGAGATCTGAGATGGCCAAAACGCTCACAGCCGTCCAATCTTGACCTAATGAACCAGTCTGAGAGTGCACTTGGGCGTTAGCTATTGGCGACCAGAACCAGACTCGTAAGCTTGGGTCCCCGCTCTGAAGCTGGGAAGAACGGATCGGAGCCGTCACTTAGTCGACGTTGACAAGATGGACAATGGTGGCAGCCTCGCCCCTCGTCCCTCAGCCAGTTCAATATTTTGCGTTCTGCCTGATGGTGTTAGGGCTTTCCTGTCTTTCGTTGATCACCATAGTGAAATGGCTTGGCGATGGGGTGCACGAAACTTAAGAGAAGATGTCCACTAGGTCAAAAGTGCATCACATCTTGAACTCAAAACGCTTCAGCTAAGACGATCTAATACGCCCAACTTTTGCTGGACGCTGTTCGTGCTTCATTTTCTGAACTTCAAATCTAACCTCGAATCCCTGTCTTCCGCAACAAAGCTGAGGCTCGACTTGACCGTGCCGGTCGTCAGACAGTGCAAGGAGCCAAACTCACCCGAGCTGTGGAGCTATCTAGTCTCTGACTGCTTCTCTCGACCTCCTGCTTCAGCTTGTCCAGTTCCGACTTGATCTCGTTGTCTCTCCGCCAGAGCTCTCTGCAATGTGGCGTAGGTTTCAGAAATGCACGCTCATTCCCTCTTCAGCATTCCTCTGCTCTAACAACCCTCTTAGAGACTTCAAAGCAACCTAAGGTAGTTTCCTTCTTAGCCAATTGGAGACTGAGATCTCTGCACCAACTTTGAACAAGCTGTTGATGACAAACCCTGAAAGACAGATCAATATTCCCTCCAAGGAAGGCTTCTAAAAAGGACCTCTCAGAGCAGAAGTGATGCAATAAATTGGCAGAGCATCTGGCTTGCCCTTGCTAATACCAAAAATCAAACTAAAAAGCTAAAACGACGGGTAACTTCAGATATTTCATTTCATTCTTGATTGCAACAGCCACCGCATGCCGGAAGAACCCTCTACTCACTTCCGCTGATTCTGCAGGCCGTTCCGCTCCTCATGCAATTTGGCATGGTCCGCGTTGAGCTTCTTGATCTCCCCCTCCCGCTCCCCAATGGTCGACGAGCTCGCTCCGCTTGCGTCAGACTGCTCGAAGACTAGCTTCTGGAGGGCTGCTACTTCCTTCTCCAGCTTGGACATCTGTAGACGGCGTCAAACATGGAGTAAGTCTCTTGCTTTACAACTCCTGCTTGGTAACGCTTACGTAACCCTTTATAAGAAACTGGACATTCCTGCGAGGACTTGACGGCGTGCCGAAGCTGAATGGCCAACTTCCAAAGGGGTCTCTTTAGCATACGAAGCATCGTATTACTCCTGTCAAACACAGATCAGATGTGCGCTTGCAGGTCAACCGATATGGAATAAGTGAGCGCATCTTCCAAAAGAGACTTCAGATAAGCTCCCTCCTATGGAACGCCTGTGACTTGAGCACTTGCTTCAAAATCCAGTTCGACTCCCTGCCCTTTAGAAGGGTTCGAAAGAAGCAACGGCGGATGTCGGACTACTTCGTACCCTCGTTACGAAGCCCTTGAACTTTTCAATGACCTGAACACTGAAGAATCGTCGCACCTGCTTTCTCTTCTGCTCAATGGTCGTCTGCAGGTCGGACACCTCCTTTTGAAGGGCCTTGTCACGCTCCCCCTGGCTGGCAAACTGTGTGGACCGCCCCTGCTTCTGGTACAGGATGGCGAGCCGCCGTTCCCGTTCCGCAATCCTGAAAACAGAGCAATCCAGCAATAAGAGCCTGTTCACATTCCGCAATCCTGAAACAGAGCAATGTAGCGCCAACAGCCTTTTCAGAGTCACTTTGTTTTCAGACAATCCGACCAGATCAAAAAAGGTAACGGTCGTGTCTCTTCGTGATTCAAGCGACAGAAAACTCTCTGAAAGTAACCGCATAACGTAAGGGTTGCGTGATTGCGATAGCTGAGGGGCGAAAAAGGAAGTAGATATAAGCCCATGAACTTCAATCACGGCCATACAAGCTGACAATGAGAATTTGACCTTACCCCTTGTTCGTCTCCTGTTCCTTCTGCTTCCACTCCTCGTGCAAAGGCTCAACCTTCAGCAGCTCCTTCTTTGCCTTGTCAACCGCCGAACCCAGGCCTTGCAGCTCTCGCTCAATAGAAACCTGTATTTGAGACATTCTCTTGTCAAGTTCTCTCAAAAGCGCAGACCGTTGAAGGGTCACTTTGTCCGATCGAACTCAGCTCACTGGCCGACCACCCGAAAGCTGGACGGGTAATAGTATATGACACCGTGGGTCTCATAAGCGGGCGGACTGAGTTCGACAAAGCAACCAGCGGACACCTTTTGGAAGGACCCCGAGGGAACCTCACATGCTGAGCTGCGCCCGACCTAAGCCGCATCCTAATAACGTCACCACAAACAACGTGATGTATTGCAACGGAGGAACGTCAGCAAGGAAGCGCAGGCAGATGCACACCCTTTAAACGAAACGTACCGTAGTCCAACGTGATGATTCCGAACGATTTTATTTTGAATCATTTCGACAGTCCGACCAGGAATGTGGAATTATTTATGTTGTTTCCGACCGCATTCCAAATGCACTATGTCTTCACTTGAAAGGGAATTTTAGGGCAATTCTGGCCGTTTTGGGGCTTCCGAGGACCATTCCAGATTTATTTTACCTTTCCGAATTTCCACTTCCCGAATTTCTGACTTTCCGCATGCAGATAATTATTTATTTATTCGGAATCATTACCTTGGACTACGGTAAGTGCAAACTCATCCACTTGGGTCGTTTCTCACTTTCTCTTCCTTCTCCCGGTCGATCGTCGCCTTGGCTTCTCTGACGTCGATCTCGACCTTCGCACCGTTTTGGATGGCCTCGTCTTTCTGCCGCTCCACGGCGGCCTTCTCCTTTGATAGCGCATCCAGCTGTTTGCTGAGAGCCTTCAGCTCCTTCTCCTTCTCCTTGAGCTGCTCACGTGTCTCCTCAACCTTGTTATGGATCGTGCTCGACTTCTTGACCGCTTCGGCTCGCTCGTGCTCAACCTGTCGAATCAGGACCAAAGAAACTCGAAACAAGTCACCACGGGTCTGATTAAGAGGGCGACGAAGATCGAGAAACTAGACTTCGACCCGAACTCAGATCCAAACCACGAGAAGAGCGCCTGATACTGCGCCTTTCTCCCAAGTCAGGAGAAGCAGCGCTGCAATTGAGTGACCACTACAAACAGATTAAGGTCCTGGTACAGGCCTGAAAGGTCCCTGAAAGCGCTAGCCTTCTTGATGTGATAATTCCAATCCCTGGAATTCAAGGCAACGGAAACATGGTGACTGCATATCTGAAAAGGAGGCCCCACATGTTTCAGCTTATCCTCAGCGTCCGCGAGCTCCTTCTCGAAGATGGTGTACTCCAGCGTGCGGCGCTCCTTGTCCAGCTTCTGGTACTTTTGAAGCTCCTCTTTCTCCTCATCTAGTTCCTTCAGTCGCTCCTCAATGTATGCCACGACTTCGAGTATCTGGTTGCGGCGGCTCTCTGTAAGTGGAAAGTGACAGCTTGACGCAACCCACGACAAGGGTCTCGCAGGTGGCTGATCCCCATGGACAGACAGTGGGCTTGCCAGCCGTGACCTCAGAATAAAAATGGTTCACGGAGAAGGCTGGGCAACTTTGAAGATGTGGGCGGAAGGGGCTAGCCAACAGGGGCAACAAACAAGGTTCGGACCCTCCAAGTAGATGGTGAATGAAAATTGAAATTCTGCCCCCAACTACAATCAACTTCTACAAAATCAAGAACCACAGCTTTGAAGTAATCTGGAGCACTGCAAAACATACTCATAATGGGTAACGCGGGCCCCTTGAGTGAATATCCGTTTCTATGACCTCCGTTTCGCTTGTGCGGATTGGCAAGTAAAATTCTGAACGTACTCACTTGAGTCCTCCATGATCTTCAAGCTCTCCTTCCTGCGCTCCTCATAGACCTTTGTGCCACCAATCTCTTTCAAGAGCTCCAGCCTCTCTGTGTCCTTCATTGTTGTCAACGAAGTAATCTGCAACCAAAGAAACCTCAGTTGCTTGCGCTGCATTCTCAAAAGACACTAATCCAATAGTTTGGAACGGAAAGTCAAGCAACTGCATTCGGCAGTAAAGCAGCTGGAAACATCTAGTCCAGGAATCCGGAAGGTCAACTCTGCGGTTTTCTCATGGCTCAGAAGTTTGTTGCCTTTGAGCGAACAGAGTAGCCATCAGCCGAACGAGCCTCACCTTCCCCTGTTGTACCACGTAGTACGGGTTTGAACGGGAGAACCCCGCACTCTCCAGCAGGTTCGACACCTCCGCCTTCCTGCATACCCACATCCATCAGTTCTTTGTGTGGAGACAAGATATTATACATCATCTTCAGATTCAAATGAAGATTCACCTTCAGAATCTGGACTCAGGCTTCAGCCAAATGAACTCCATGTGCCAGGCAACTTACTGAACAGGTCACCGATTGCTGTCATAAGAACAAAGTGCATTGAGTAACGTACGTAATGTGCTTCTTGTCCAGAAAGTACTCATCCTTCTTCAAGCCGATGGTTCTGCGAAGCCGGACCTCGTCGCGGTCAACCTGCACAACATTGGGACTCCACATCCTGTTGAATCAAAGGCCAAATCAACGTACGTAGCGGAGTACAAACAAGGCGGATGCTCGTTGCTCATTCCCATTGCTCTTTGACTGGCTTTGCCTCCGCTTTGACTAGCTTTTGGACGCGGTACCATGTGCGAAGCCCCAGCTGATCGTAAAGAGCCCCAAGCTTTCAACAGTCAGCAATCATCACAGCAAAGAAGACATGGCGTGACAAACAAGCTGCAAGTCAAAAATGCGACTTACCGGCAGCCGGTTATCAGAGTTGTCAAAGACAATCTCCACAAATGCCGACATGACCTGGTTGCCTGCCCCTTCCTGCGGAGCACAAATGACAATTGATTCAAATGCTGGAATTTGACAGCCATGACTTTCCCATTGAGGCTAGCAAACTCGGTCTTTCTCTGCTGCCATGTTCCAACAGTCAGTGTCAAGCACAGCTGCTGGAGTTAACCTTAGAGTTCTGTTGCGGTTTCCGAAGAAAGTTTTGGTAGCAAATGCTGATTGTTTATCAATTACAGGGACATTCAACAGGTTTCAGAATTGACATAAGGCTAAGCTTGGCGGCTTACATGCAGGATAGCTTGCCTCTCCTCAGCCCTCAAGGGTGTAGACATGTCACTGAGGACAAAACGAATCGCTGCACAAGACGTCAGCCTATCAGCGCCTTCTTACAAAAGGTATCAGCACAAGCGAGGGCTTCCACTACAGGAAAGCTGGACCAGCTGTTGTATTACCAACCACAAATGCAGGAAAATACTGCTGATCTAAGGAAAGCACTTACCATGAAAGAAGTTGCTCTTCCCAGACCCATTTGCTCCAACTGCAAGAACAAGTTTGTTTTGAGGTTCATGGAGAGTCTATGGCACCAGACCAGCATGTCGCATGGAGTGGCACCAAGGACCGGGCAGAATGCCTTCTCGAGAACACTTCATCACTATCTTGCAATGAACAAGTCCTGTTTGAGAAAGTACCGCCAGCAATTGTCAAATCTAAAGAGTCTGTTTCCCACCCGCAAGGAGGACCCCAGCATTGACCAGCTGATTGTTTCCAGTGCAGCAGGAGGTGAAGTCAGAACAACTCATGGTTACACCAGACCATGTTGGCCCATCAGACGTCTCAACTACCTAAGCTGCTGAAAGCATTGGCGCAGGAGAAGAGCTCACCGACACAGTTGTGTTTTGGACTGAACGGTTCGGCTGCGACCTGCTCTTTGTAGCTTTTAAAACCTTCGATAATCACCTGCATCAGAAATCAGCATGCGCTTGCATGGTGTTTGAAAGTATTGCACAGACCTTGCGTCCAGCTCAATCAAGCGGACGTAACTGAACTTTGACGAGGAATTGTGCGAAACATTGTGCAGGCATATAATTATCTCATGGACAAGCTTACCTGCTTGATATACATAGTTGCAGCAGAAACATGCCCCCAAAGACTTTCTTCCCAACTGCAGCGCCTGGAACCGCTTCCTCAGCGCGTTTTGCCAACCAAAGGGCTGTTTGTCTCACGCACTCGAACTGCAAGTTTCTCTTCTTTCAATTTCTCCCCGCGTACAGTATTGCCCTCCTCTTCTCACCCAAAGTATACTTTCTGACCAAGGGCCGGCGGGAGGAGCTCTGCACACTACGGTGCCCAAAAGACGCTCGCATGCATCACAGAACAACAGGCGCTGCTGCGTTGCAACTTGCAGACTGTCTTGCACAAGCTGTCCCACAGATCAGCACATGTGCTCTGCACACTGCCAGTGCCGTTTTGAAAGCTTTCTGGCGGGAAGAAAAGTTCAAAGCCACTGCCACTGGCACCGGCGTGACCGGGTGCATTTCGCTGCCAGCTGGTGTTGTTTCCTGATGTCACACCTCTTCGGTGTGACTGGCATCTTTTGTATCGCTCAGAGGGAAGCCTTTCAAGTAGATTCTGCTGTGTATATCGACGGTTCGAAAAACAGGCGCGTGCGATCGGACGTTCATGAGACATGTCGAGCATGAATAAGGGCGTGGTTGCACTCGGACTCAAAGCAGAGCGTGCACCATTGGAAATGCTCCCAGCGACGCTGGCGCTCTCCAGAGCTTGTGATCCACAGACCAGACGAGCCCATCCCTGATGTTTGTTCCTCCTTACAATCCATTTGGCTTTCAAGCATGGCGGACAGCTCCAGGACGCCCCTGGTGGCGCCCAGGAAGGCCCCCAAGTCATGGGTCGACTTTGCGGTGATGTTCCGCTGGATGATTGTGGTCCCCATCGTCCTGCCCATCTCCTTTGCCTTCGAATGCCGCAAGCGCATCCGCGACTGGTACTCCCGCCGCCGGAGCTACGAGAGCAAGGAGGCCGAACACCAGAAGAATGTGGAGACAGTGCAGAAGCGTCTGCGGAGCAGGAACGCATCCAAGGATGGCCTGGTGTGCACTGCGCGCAAGCCCTGGCTGTCGGTCTCCATGCGCAACCAGGACTACAAGCGCGCGCGCCGCTTTGAGGTGGACCTGAGCGACTTCCGCCACATTCTGAACATCGACAAGGAGAGGCTGGTCGCTCGCGTTGAGCCGTTCGTCTCCATGGCGCAGCTCAGCGCAGCGACCGTCCCCATGGGATTGGCGCTCGCGGTCGTGCCTGAGTTGGATGATCTGACGGTGGGGGGCCTGATCAATGGCTACGGCATCGAGGGGAGCTCCCACATCTATGGACTCTTCCAGGACATCGTGCTCGCTTATGAGATTGTGCTTGGCGATGGGACGCTGGTCCGTGCCACTGCAGACAACGAGTACTCGGATCTGTACTATGCGATCCCGTGGTCTCAGGGTACGCTTGGGATGCTCGTGGCGGCCGAGCTTCAGTTGATTGAGATCAAGCCCTACATGAAGGTGAGGTCGCACTGATGACAATGTCTGTGAATTGGGTCAGCGTGGTGGAGTGAGGCGCATTGTTAGTGGCGCCAGTTTGTGTACTTCCGCGAGGTGCAAGGATCTGGTTGTTATTGTCCCAGATCTGGTGCTGTTTATTTCTCTCGGGAGATGGGCTCAGGCATGCAGTGGTTTGCATTGCTGGCGCCTTTATCTGGCTGCTTGTGGTAAGGTGCCACAATGTGAGGGCCAAAAGCGAGTCTGCAGTCTAATACATTTTGCCCTGCTTTGGACAATTTTTTCATACAGATCTGCCTGCAACGCAGTGCTTGATCTTCATAGCTTGAAAGCAGATAGGTTAGCAATCCAAGCTAACATGCAGCATGGTGGCAGATTGTCAAGCCCTGCATGGCCGTACTTCGTTGCTTTTTTTTCAAAACACTGAGATTGACGTGTTCGCTGAAAAGTGCTCTCTATGCTGTCAGTTCTATCTGGTTCTCAACCACTGGCACACCACGCACGTCAGTGAGAGCGCACAGAACTTTCTCTGAGACGAAGCGGATAAGTTTCAGTCGAAGGCTGTGCCAATTGCCATTACTTGGTCTGGATTGGTGCCTTGGCCTGCTCACTAATGTCAGAAAGCATTGGCGCTTTACATCCTGCTGGTAATGGTATTGTATCTAAGAGATGGTGCGAGAGATGGTGAGAAAGTGCATACTTCAAATTGGGAAAACATCATCTTCCTGCTTCTGTGAAGCCAGCGTCAGGCGGGGTCTGTACCACCGTTTGTGTTCCTGCTTTCTCCAAGCAGTGCTTGCTTGCTTGCTCACTCTTCAATCACATCCGTTGCTTGGATCTGGGATCTTTACGGTGTCTCGTCTTCTTTAGCAGAGCTTCCTTACCCTCACCTGAGTAAGAGCGGTAATGCAAGCGCCTCGCAGGGATCTGCTTTAATTGTCCCCTTTCTCCTTTCAGCTTGACACAGCATTAGCCTATGTACCTCGTACGTGATAGTCGCATCTTTTTGCACCACGTCTCAGCAGATCACCACTTTCCTGGGATATTCATATCAACAAAATTTCCTCCCAACCATCTGGTGTCTGGTGCTTATGTGCATTTCTTATTTCAGGCTTTGCAATTGGTCAGCACCTTGATTTGTTGTACTGGTGTCTGAGGTTGTCTGAGGTGTCTGAGGTGTGAAAGGTCAAGAAGTGGACTCATCATTTTCCCTCCAAGCGTTCGTTGGTTCGTCCCACCGTTCAAAGTGGACAGTTTCCGCTTCGCAACTTCCTATCAGAACTGTTGGTGCCAGCCTCCAGTATCTAAGAGCGCTGAGTCGACCCAACAGTATGACGATTGGTCCCATTAGACACTGCCCTCGCTCAGGCTCACTTGTACACGTGGCCTACCTGCCGGTGTGCGGGTCCCTCCGATGGGCGAGGCATTCTCAATCTTTTTGCCCCGTGTGTTTTCAATCGCTTACTCTCTTCAAATTGACAATCAGATGTCCTCAAAGTTCTCTGTTTTCTCAGACCTCTCTTTTGACGCTACCCTTACAAGATTGGTCTCACTCATACAGCTGACCTACCAGTCGGTGCGCGAGTCCTCCAAAAGATGGGCCAGGCATACCAACAATACTTGCCCCAAGTCCCGTCCGTTCTCTCACTGCTCTTTTTCTATCATTCTGACGAATAGATCCATAATTGACACTACCCTTACGCGCACTGTCTTGCTTACACAGGTAACCTACCAGCCGGTGCGCGGGTCCCTCCGCGAGATGGGCCAGGCATACTGGGACTGCTTCTGCCCCCGCGACGGCGACCAGGACAATCCCGAGAAGGTCCCCGACTTTGTGGAGGGCATGATCTACACCAAGAACACAGGCGTCATGATGACGGGCGACTACGTCGATGCCAAGGAGGCCAAGGCGCACTGGGGCCAGGTCAACGAGGTCAGTGCTGCTTTGCTTCATACAGCTTCTCACTAGCAACCGGCCACTTTCAGTGGAGAAATCAGTGTAACTTACTTAGTCTGCTACTGAGGGAAATTAGTCTAGAGGAATAGTATGCACTGATTCTGGCGGGTTGCTTGGGAGAAGCTGTAACCCTGAAGAAAAGGAAAAGAACAGTGAAAAAACTAAGAACCGGGGAAGGTTGTTTGCAGAGGGCTGCAATCAAGGAAGAAAGGTACAAACGAAGTGAAGTAGGCTCTTCTGTGCTATAAAACGTTAGGAAAAGATAAAGCACATTGGAAGTCCAGTCCGCTCTCAAGGGGGGCAACATTCTCTTGACAGACTCTGTTACGGGACTACAATTCCATCAACGCAAGCCGTTTTAACTTTTTATATCGGGTCAACTCTCATGTTTGACAAATCTTTGCGTTGCTCATTGCCAGCCGAACACACTAATACTGCCGAACACACTAATACTGCAAGTTTCTGATTCCATTACTTGCTCGTTGTAGTGTGCTTGGTGGTTTAAGCCGGGTTTTACCAGCACGCAGCGTCCGCGCTCAAGTGCGGAGAGTTCGCGGAGTTCGTCCCAATCTTCTGAAATACCAAAAGGCCTCCTTTCTCTGGAAATCGTGAACTTTCTTTTCTTTGGAGTCCAATCATATTCGAGAACCCCAGTACGGCCAAGGTGTTTGTTTTCCACGACTCCCAACAACCATGTCTTCTTGTGAATCCAGAATCTTGCTCTGCAGTGCGACAAGCGTAACATACTTTCGCGGATTCAAACTTTATCACTCAGTGGAGGCTTCCGGGAATGTACGACTAACTCCCGCCTCTCGTTTTTGCAGTGCGGCTGGTGGTACAAGCCGTGGTTCTACCAGCACGCCGCGTCCGCGCTCAAGCGCGGCGAGTTCGTGGAGTACATTCCGACGCGCCAGTGGTACCACCGCCACACGCGCTCGCTCTACTGGGAGGGCAAGCTGATCCTGCCGTTCGGCGACAACTTTTTGTTTCGCTTCTTCTTCGGCTGGATGATGCCGCCCAAGGTGTCGTTCCTCAAGCTCACGCAGGGCGACGCGATCCGCAACTACTACCACGAGCGCCACATGTGCCAGGTGAGTTGCTGAATCCTTGGCTTCTGTCAGTCGTGGTCGGGTGCGCTTATTGACTTTTATGAAAGCCCGTACGGTCAAAATTTCTTACCGTTTTATTCGGTCGTTGCAATTCGCAACTACTACCACGAGCGCCACATGTGCCAGGGGGGCCGCTAGATTTTCGGATATTTTTTTATTGTTGCCGCTGTAGGACCTCATCCAAAGCCCATTTGTACGCTTCAGCACGTCCTCGGCCGCTCTTGCTGGATTTACTGTGGATCAATCTCTGTGATATCTTTTTGTTAAAAATGTTTGCTTGGAAGTTTCTTTGACCAAACTAGCCGATTTGGACAAGAAGCGTCGTCTTTAGAGTTTATCCGTCAAGTGGCAGAAAAATATTAGCACGAGTTGCCCTCGAACAAAAATTGACGCTCCAAATCTGCACCGAGAATCTCTTCTCGTCGGTCGGGTTCATACAGTTCGTCCTAAACCATGGCGTCGTAGGCTATGGAACCAGCCTCATTTTGGATCAAACCGACAGGCTTCTCTGATCGTTCATTCTTTACTCAGCGCTTTGTCGTTTTTGCCCTCCATCTGTTCTCGTTGATGGACTTAAGCTCTGATCCTATCCGCAGCTGTCCGGATTGAATCTCGCTGGAGGCCATGGTATCACTTGACTGCATGCCTATCAACGAGATGCATACGAGGAACATGATCTCATCACAGTGATCAACCAAGATCTGGATGTTAACTTTCCATAGCTACATTTACAAGCAGAAAGGACTCCCGAACCAACCTCGAAAGCCCGCAACTCCGCAGGTCCCCGTGTAACGTGTCGGCGAAGCGCTTGAGCTGAACGAGTGCATTCGGGGCGCCTCCGAATCTTTCTTTCCTATAAGTGCGTCCTTTGTCCTGCCGAGGTTGATTTGTGCCCGTGTGGTCCAGGCTAAAAAATCATTGGATGTTAAACATAGAATTTCCACTTTTTGAAGATCTGGAAGACTGACTTCGGATGCATCCCTTTTCGCAGGATATGCTGGTTCCCGTGTACCGCGTCGGCGAGGCGCTCGAGCTGAACGAGCGCGAGTTCGAAGTGTACCCCATCTGGCTGTGCCCGCACCGCCTCTACAAGGTGCCCCAGAAGGGCGTCATGGTCACGCCGGAGCCAGGGTACGAGAAGCACAAGCGCCCGGGCGACACGGCCGCAGCGCAGATGTACACCGATATCGGGCTTTATTACGCCCCAGGTACTACAGCAAGGTTTCTTGTTCGACGAAGGGTTTGGCGTGTTTGTTTTGTCGTGTGGAGCGTAATTGGAAGTTTGTCAGGAGCTGGGCTACGAGAAGCAAAAGCGTCCGGGTGACACCGCGGCCGCGCTAAGTTACACTGACATTGGCTTGTACTACGCGCCAGGTGCGATTTCGAAGATTTCGTTTTTCCGATGATCGCTCTTGTCATGTGTTCGTTGGTCGTTGGGAGAATTCGTGGAGTTCGGCTATAAGAAGCACAAGCACCCGGGAGACACCGCTGCAGCACAGCTGTGCACCAACATCGGGCGTTCTTATGCGCCAGGTTCCATTCCGGAGATTTGGTCTTTCCGATCTTGGCGTTATCGTTCTTGTCGTCTGTTCTTTTCAAGTAGGCCGTATCCGTGAAATTCGCGCCTATAAGAAGGACAAGCGCCTGGGAGACACTCAAATGTACACCGACTTCGGACTTTACTACGCGCCAGGTGCATCTACAAAGATCTGCTCTTCAAATCTTGGCGTTACCGCTCTTGCTGGTCTTGTCGTGTGTTATTTTCAGTGGGTTGTATTTGGGAAGTTTGGCTGCGAGGACACACTGTCGCAGCGCAGATGCACACCGACATCGGCCTGTACTTCGCTCCGTCGAAACTTTGCTGGCTTTTTCCGAAAGCTCTTCCAACGTGTGCTTATTTGAGTGGGGAAATTGAGTCCCATTATGGGGAGCCCGGCAATGAGAAGCACAAGCGCCCGGGGAGATGTTATGGCCGCCCAGATGTCAGCGACATTGGCTGTATTATGCGCCTAGGAGGTATAAATGACATTGTCGGGAGTACGTACTAGCAGCTGTCGCCTGCTTCTTGTTGATGCTATTGCTCCCTTCGGGATGTGTACAAGGCGTTTCTCTGAGTTCTAGTCGCAGGCGCCTGCATCCTGTGTGACGTCATCGCTCCACCCTTCCTGACGTCATCAACTCCTCCGTACCAGCCCCGTGCTCCACGGCGAGCTGTACGATGGCGATCGTCTCGAGACCACTGCCAGCCGCCTGCACCTTGCTGACGTCATCGCTCTTATTTATCGACGCCATCGCTCTGGATTTCCTGACGTTATGGCTCCCTCCGCTGACGTCTTCGTCCCCCCCGTACAGGCCCCGTGCTGCGCGGTGAGGTGTACGACGGCGTGTCGGCGTGCAAGCGCATGGAGCAGTGGCTCATCCAGAACCACTCGTTCCAGGCGCTCTACGCGGTCACGGAGCTGACCGAGAAGGACTTTTGGGTCATGTTTGACCAGACGCTCTACAGGTACGACATTCGCTCTTAGCGTCTGTTATGTTTGTTTTATCTCGTTTGTGATCTTTGGAAATCAATGCGATTGCGAGCCCGCTGAGAAGGACTTTTGGGTCATGTTTGACCAGACGCTCTACAGGTACGACATCTGCTCTTAGCGTCTGTTATGGTGGCTTGAATCTCTTGTTGACTTGCTGATTCTTCTGTCTTTGATGCGACTGTGAGCCCGCTGTGAGGGACTTCTGGGTCATCTCGACCAGACGCTCTACACGTACGACACTTAACATCAGAGCTCTCACTATGTTGCCTTGCCCTCATTAACCTGCTGGCTGTGTCCTAGAATTGATGCGAGTAGGAAGCGTATTGAAAAGGACTTTCGAGTTCACATTCAACCCGATGCTCTGTAGGTGCGATATACAGGTTTAGCGCTCTTACGGTTGTTTACAATCGGACTTGCGTTCGTGTAGACCTGTTGATTATGGCTCGAATCTCGGGCAGTCATGAGGTCAATGTAACGGAGTAAGGGTCATCTTCGTCGTATTGTTGGGACAAATCATTTGTTTCAATAGAGCTTTAAAAGGATCCATTGATATCTGACAGTTGTGAATGTACCTCTACTCGAGCAATTGTTTACTTCTCCGCCAGCGCCTCTGTCCGTCGTTACGAAGTTTTGCGAAGGATATTACCTGAAAGCTCGGGTCTTCTGTCTTGTGTTCGAACATGCTCATGTGGTAATCATCTCCTGATGACGTGATCAGAAGCGGACAAGGTGCTCATCACAGAATCCCGATCTGCAGGAACTGCCGCGTCAAGTACAAGGCGCAGGGGACGTTCATGGGCGTGTACTACAAGTCGGCCAAGGGCCGCAAGTCGGAGGCTGACGTCCTGAGAGAGGAGAAGGCGGCTGCGGAGAAGGAGCGCATTCAAGAGGTTTAGGCTTCAAAGTGTAACGAGACGGATTGTCCCAATCTGATCCAGCAAAAGTGTGAGCTGGAAGTGGGGTCTGAGCTTGAACTGGGGTGTGAGTGTGTGGAACTGACTCTTTAAGAAATTGGACAGAAGGAATGACAAAGTGGGCTCCTTGCCGAAGCCCGCTAGTTTTGAAAGAATGGGGCGTTGTGCTGGTGGACGTGGTTTAGAAAAGGGAGTCATGTGCGTGTTGAATGGTCTGAGCCAATGCTATTTCGAATAATAGAAGAGTACGGTAGGAGCAGTCTGGATTCGTTTCAACGACGGAGCGCGTCCGAGTACAAGGCCGTAGTCGATTCATCCTTTGTAGAGCTTTTAGGAGGTGTTCGTAGGACGGATAACAGTCGTCAATGGAATAACCGTCGAGCACTGTTAGGGCGCAGAGTTGCGTGCAGTACATGAACTGCAGCATCAGCAGCACTGCTACTAGCCTAGTTCACAAGTCAGAAAAGGATGCGACTTGACATTGCAAGCTCGGAAAGTCGGAAGAGTCAGATGCTTTTGCTTGCATGTTCTTCCAGTGCCCAGCCGAGAATACTGTCAAGTTTGAGCACACTATTCCTCATCGGACTGACTTATTATATTGAGGAGGCTGCTCAATATTTAACGGAAGGCTTCAGCACCGCGCATTGGCTGCATCCAGGCAATCTGATGTAGCTGTCCTAATAGGACGGCAGCCATGTGACGCGAGCAACCTAGCTGCTGACTCTCGATCAGATTTCAGAATCTACACAACACATGAATGATTTCAGAATCTACACAACACATGAATTTGCAAATCTCGAAAGAGAGTTACGCGGTCAGAGATCCTTCACATGCTCCACATGCGACGTCGGGTAGTGGTTTTGAGCAATATTGAGCTTCAGCGAGCTAGAAATCGGAGCCGGCCGTACCTATATTAAACTTGCGCGGCGGCACGATCGTTACTCTCGATCTAAATATACTGTGTACGTTAAAGCCATGATATGAATGAGGTGCCCGCGTCGACAATACTACATAGAACAATTTTATATGTTCCATGGAACTTAGGTACAATCTTTGCATGCGATATCATGAGCCCGCTGCCAGTTGATTTGCTGTCATGGTACTGATCGAGCCAAATATGCAGTTGCAAGCCAGGCATGTGCTCTTCAGTATATCATCGACTCACTGTCAGCCGATCGGGCCAGTGGATCACTGGTTAGCAGTTACCTACTTATTCAAGACGGGTTCGTTTCGCAAGCAGCGTTTTGCAACGATTCTATCCCAAACGAGTCGGGAAGCTTCCGCCCGTGGTTTATTACCATCGCGCCTATACGCCCTTTCAGCGCCCGCAGGATCGGACCTGAAAACGGTAAAATCGTGTGCACTCTAATCAGCCGCGCGCTGAGTTCATTAGCTACCTTGAAAGATGTACACGTACTGCTATAGCTTAAGGTCTGTAAGCCAGCTAGCACCGCGCACCTCAAAACCTTTGGCTCAACACTAGAGCCGCTACTTCTTTTCATAGAACACCATAAGTAGATACTTCTGCCCAAGAAACGCGCCGCCTATTCCGAATCCGATCGCATCTGTACAGATCTCTCATACAGTAATAGTCTGAACGGCTCACTGCGGACCTTCGCATCTTAGCACTCTGTTCGCACACACGACAGACATTTTGACCATTCCGCCCGTTACTCCTCGGATTCCGCTGGAGCGTCCGACGCCGAGATGCAGGAACAGTCCTGGCTGGTTGCCCCGTCTTCTGATCCTAAGCCGCTCTCGCTGCGGCTCGAGTCGCTCTTGGACGCGGCCGCGACCGCGGGCGCGCGCGCGGGCGCCTTTTCGGCGCACATCGCGTCCTCGAGGAAGCGCACGTCGTCCTCATCTAGTTCCTCGTCGTCTTCTTCGTCATCGTCCTCGTCGACCGACCAGTCGCCGCCTGCGGAGGAAGGTTGCGTCAGCAAGCGTCAAACGTCCGAGTATGTAGCAAAGTGGACACACTTTCGAATTCGAGCCAGTTGAACTGCCGTTGTCTTAGTCGTCCTCGTCATATCTCACCGATGAGCCGCGGCTTGCGGACAGAGGTTGGGTACGTATCGCGGATTGACCTGATGTGAAGGGCGACAAACTAAGTGCTTTGGAATCGTCCCAAGTCCGATGAAAAAGTCCCAAGTCCGATACTGCTAGCCCTAATTTATAGATGTCCTCGGAAGTGCGTGCAGAATCTCCTTAGCAGCCATTCAAATGCATGGTCAAAGCAACCAAGAAACAGCTTCGAGAGCCGTCCAAACGCGCGCTTCTTGCCTTACGAGACAATGGACATCGGAGAAATTCAAATCAATACCGTCCACGGTCCTACTTTCTGTTCGTTGTTAACAGGTTGATCATGTCCGAAAAGGGGCCGCCTAAAAGGACGTCCGATAAAGAAGCTCACCCGTGGTTACCAGTACATCTACCGGCACGTCCAGCCCCACGGCCGCCTCAACCGTGCCCCGGTCTCTCCGGACCGCGGACACCAAAAAGTCGCCCGTCCGGCTCGTGAACAGCGTTCCGTCCAGGTTCCGCACCAGCACTCCTGCCGTCCGACATTCCGCTTCCGCTTCCGCTTCCGTTCCGCTCCCAGATGCGCCGTCCGTTCCCTCGTCGGCCTCACATCGATTTGTCGCGCCCTTCGTCCCGCTCCCCGTTCCAATCTTGGTTCCGACGTCCGTCCCGGTTCCGGTGTCCATTCCGGCATCAGTTCCGGTCGGAGTTCCGTCCTCCTCCCGGAGCAGCTCCATCAGCGCTCGCGGAATGACTGCCATGAAACCGGACGACGAGAAGACGGTCCCGACCGGCCGCCGCCGGCGGGTGACCTGGTACGCACCCTCGCCGAAGCGGGTCTGGATGACGGCGCACTGGAGGCCGCGGTACGTCACGATGACGTCAGCGTTCTGGAGGGCGTCAAGGATTGGGAGGACCTCTTGTGTCCAGCGCCAGCGGTGGATGTCCGACGTGAAGAAGGCGTGCATGCTGCGGTGGGGGGAAAGGGGGGAGTTAGTATCAACCCTCACAATGGATGCTGCGGCCAAAGAATGTTCTATAGAATAGGTTTAGTTAAAGAGCAAGGTTTAGTACTGGGACGGGTCCCGGACGGGTATGGTTAGTACGGTGGTTAGGGTGGGTATGGGTGCGGAGCGGGTGATTATTAGGTCTAAGTTTTTAGTGTTTAAGCTTCGTTCTTACTAATACTTGAGCTTACTAAAGCTATTCTAGAGAAGTAAGTCTTATCGGCCAAAGAGTACATTTCGATGATTTTAGCGGAACGTTCCTATTGGAAAGTTGGCAGACGTTGTCCACGCCGAACAGCTCGTTCCAAGTGTGAACGAATCCAATCGGTTTGTCCTCCATGGGATGGCCTCGATTCGCGTTTGACTGGTGAAAGCGCTGAGGGTAGGCTAGTGAGAGCTTGAAATTGTAGGTTCTAACATTCTTTTCCCTTTATCAAGGAACAGTGGGACTTGTAAAGAGCTGGTGAGGCGAAAAAGGGGTTGAGTTTCATGAAAGCAACGTATAATCAGTCGGCCTGAAGGGAGTGATAATACAATTGATCCTTCATTTTGAGATAATGGACAAGATAGAACAGTAAAGTATTCCTAACTTTAGAGTGTTTCTTTAAAAATAAGGTAGACAGTTATCTATCTTCAGAATAAGATGTCTCGCATGGAAAGTCTATAAGTTCCCAGATATCAAGGGAAAAGAATGCCATTGATAGGTTAACGTGGGAGAGACTAGCTGTCCGGTAGCTGTAATTGTGAAAGTAAGCTTCAAAATGGGAGCGGAAGCAAATCAAAAGCTCGTAGTTCGAGTAGGTAATACCGCATTCAGAGCACCCAATCAGGAGGTTAATTCTGTGTGCATAGTTTGGAAATTCCAATCTCAGATGCAGAATAAAGAAGAGCGGAAATATTATCCTGAAAATGTACAATTGACAGATGGCAGATACTATCTGCAAGACCTTGCCAAGTTCCAAACCGCCAACTGACTGAGCTGGACAAGTGCAATATCTAGGTTCATAAGACAGACAGTAGCATTTTGATAGACAATCAGCGAACTTCAAGGACAATTCCACACTTGAATGGCAAGTAGCAGACCTGGAAAGCAATCAGCAAAAGCTGCCCAAGGAATCCAGAGAGAAGAACAGGTCTGCTGTGGATCCAAGACGGAAGAGAAACTGAATGAAAAGGGAAAGCAAGGCATGTACTCTGCTGAGTCATTAAACTGAAACACAGGGTAAGAAATAGGTGAGCTGAAAAGCAAGAAGCAGTCACTGGCTATCAAAAGACAAGAATGGGGGAGTGACTCACGGGTCGATGATGTAAGCATCGCCTTGTATCCGTAGCATGTGGGAGGGGTTGGAGTCGTCGAGCAACTTGGCATGCACGATGCCGATCGTTGCAGCCATGTAGTTCCATTTCCAGGACTCTTCCAGGGTTGCTCTACAGAAACTAGAGCGGTAGCATTGGAGGGCCCAGAGGAGGTCGCATGTAGCCAGCGCGTGGTAGCTTTTATTCACCTGAAAGAAAGGACCACTGTCTTTCGTGACTCCGACGAGTTACGTGAAGAAAGAACATTCTTGGCGAGAGGCGAAATGATATCTTGGAGGGGAGAAAGTGATTTGTGACTGCTTGAGGAAGGTTTAAGACTCGTCTTCCTGAATCTTCTGGTGGGGATACAAATCCATTTCAGTTGCTCGGAAAAGGTAGAAAGAAAACATTCAAGAGGCCTTCTCTCAAAGGATGTTTTGCATACATTTGTTTGTAGGCCTTGAGGGGAAGAAGTAGATACAGAGCCGTGTCTTCAGAGGGGTCCTGTTGGCCGAGAAAAAATGGAAGATTGAGCTTGTGAAGAAGGATATTTGGAGGAAGAAAAAGTCTTCAGACAAAAATGCTTTTGGAAGCTTGACATCAGCTTTTTTTGGCGATCCGGGTGATTAGCAGCCAAAGCAGTCAAGCCTTAAGAAGCTGAACTTGATCTTGATCTTTGACCTGAGGTAAGAATGTCTGTGCTTTTGTTCAGTTTTGAGCATCATCTTTTGGGCCAGAACTTGGGGTGAACAGAAGAAAGTGATGTGGATAAGAACAACAGGATGAGCTTATCCCAAGCACATGTTAGGATGATCACAAAGGAATATATCCATCGTAGAAATAAACTCTTTCAAGGCGTTGGAGCGTAGCTTTCCAGATGGGAATGGAAAGGAAAGGTTTGACTGCTTGCAATTCTGAGAACAGAAGGATACCCCCCGCTTTGTGGGGATACAGCTGGAGAGAAAGTGCGTTTCTTTGTATGCTCTTTGACAATTGGGGGGCATACTTGTAGCATATTTATTCCTTATATAGGATTCAATTTCGTGATGACCGTTTCTTTGTTGTTGTGAGGGTGTCCAAATTTTGACTTGTTGAAGTGCGGGAGTGCCCGTTATTGATACCTTGGCAATTATGCACTTCTAACCATCGCCTTAGTCACCTTAGTCAGAAGCACACTATGCAACAGGCCTGTCATCAGCAGCCTAGCTGAACATAGTCAACTGAGCTCATCCCGGCAAGTCCAGTTTACCTTCACTGCATACTAAGGACTGGATAATTGGTATAGACTCCTGGACCAACAGCTAAGCTGGACATCCTGAAATAAATTTAAAGCTGAGCAATCCAAATGGAATCTAATAACTACATTTCTGTATTACATACCATAATGGAAGCAAGCATAACTGCATTATGCCACTACGCTCATAGTGGCAATGCTCTGTGCACATTCTAAAGAAGTTTTCATTGCCCAGTCAGAAGTTAGATGTCTATGTTCTAACTAGTGTGTCTAGGTTGTGTGCGCACAAAAACAAGTGGTCAAGGAGTGGTCACATCCTTGCTGTGCCCCGTCGCACTTCATGTTGTATGTAGAGAAAGGCCTCAAACAAAACGAATGACAAGTACATGAGCCTTGAAGTGTTCATTCAACAGGCTGACTTACCTGGGACATCTGGCACAAGTCCTTAACCGGCAAATGTTGCAGGACTCGAAGCTTCAGCTCCCACGGCAGCTTATCCAGGCCAAGTGTGGACGTTTCCAGCTGCTTTCTCGATGGCGCCACACAGGAATGTGACTGCCGAACACTGCTGCTTGGAACATGCGCTTCGCTCCTGCTCCGGATTTGAGCTAGGTCCTTGGTAGGAGGCGTCGTCGGCCCCAAGGCGACATCCATCAGATGCACCGAGCTAGATCTCCTGAAGCGTTTTGTTACGCGCACCGCACCCGCTTCGTCCATCTCGTCCGATGCTCTCCTCTTCTTGGAAGCACTCTCCAGCATCAAGAAACACTCTGTGACAGCTTTCTTCCCCATCGCAGCCTCTTCAGAGGAGCTGCTTCCCTGCTGGCACTCCCAGAAGCTGCTCACAGTCACAGCTGCAGCTGTCATGGCTGCTGCCATGCTCACGGCGTGATGTGACACAATCTGCGCCGCCACAGCGATCTGCCGGAAGCGCCCCTGAGGTGCCTGCTCCACGCACCCGCGGATGAGCGCCATGAGCGCAACTTGGGTGCCAGCTCGGACCTGCCCAACCGCCGCTGCGGCAGAGAGTTTATTGCGCGCTGCTAATTCTGTCACTGTGTCATACCACGTGAAGCCCTGCATTCTCTGCGAGTCTGCGGCACAGTCTGCTCAAGATTTGCGGGGGCTTGCAAGTGCGGGGTGGCGCCGCCGTCCTTATAGCCGGTCATCCGTTTCCAGCCCCGCGGCTGATCCCACTCTTCACGGTAATCATACGACGGAGGGCCGCAAATGCCTACGTGGCAGTCTTGGAAGCAATCCGCTCTGACATTGCACTTACTTTTGGGGAGCTTCTGCATCCGCCGACCGATGGTCCGAACTTGTCACTGCGTCACGCTTGAGAAAATCAGAGAAGCTGCAGTCCGCGTTTTGCGGCAGCCGGGTTGACCCCCAAGCGACTTACGGCGTCAGACCATCATGATCATACGGTAGGTACTCTAGCTTGTACACTTTGCACGCTACAGAATCACGATTCACCATGGAGTCCACTTCAAGGTTTTGCATGGCTGGAGCATCAGAGTCCCCGGTCACAGAAGGAACACGTCACACTCAGTCATCGCCAGTCTGGCCGCTATTCTCGAAATTGACGTCGGCGCGAAGACCGACCGCCGGGACTTGCCGACCAAGTTGCACGTTGATGGGCCAAACTGACCTAGAATTCTTTAGAGGTCGTGGTTCAAGGACAGTCGCTACCTATTTGTTGCATTAGTTGCCTACGTGATGACGGTAAATAGCTGTGCAGCGTGCTGTGCTCCTTGCCCCAGGGGCCAACTGGCAACAACGAGTCCCCGTCACGGTGCCGTAGAGGATAAACGGCAAGCGGGACAGCCAGTTGCTGATTGTACCCCTAAAAGAATTCTGATTCCGTGATTGTTGTGAAGATTAGGTCGCAGTTAGAAGCGCCGCTTGACAGACGGCATACTTTGTTCCGTAAATATTCGGGTTTACCGGGAAACCCCGGATCTCGCGCAAGAAACCGTTTCTTTCCCAATATATCCACACTAATAAATATCCAATATTTGCCGGGCTCGGGCCCCGGGGCCCGGGCGGTGGGAGGGGACGGAGCATTTTTAACTACTTATAATCATCATAGCGCCGAGCTCTTCTACCGGTAAGCCAGGGATCTGGGGCTCCGACAGGTGACAAGTCGGGGATTTTCTAGATGCATACTCAAACCTGCCTGCTTTCGCCAAGCTACCGGTACATCATAGTCCGGGTTTTATTGCACGGTGCACCCCAGGGGCGAGGCAGCTAGCTCGGATATGTCTCGCCTGTTGCAGTCGGACGTGCAGGGTGAACACGCATTGGCCCCCTTGTCCGATCCGATTTTACACGGTACACACTGCACAGCTTTTCCCAGCTGTCCGGTCCCGGTAGAAATTTTTGAGGAATTCATGGAAACAGAAGATAACCTCCAACCACCAGGTTTCGAACCTAAAATAGCCATATCGCCCCGCACAGCGGCGCCCGGTTGCACAGACTGTGAGGTCCATGCTTACGGTACAGGTACGGGTATGCCTTAATTAAGTTGCATGCTTGCGCTGCAAGTCGGACTACAGCTGTACACAACCGTGCAGTACTAATACGGTAGTGTATGTACGGCATTCAAAGCTGCCAGGAACATGCTCGCGCGTTCGAGCTGCAACTTCTAATTCTTATGAACTTCCATGTGCGTGACATGGTAATATGCTGCCACCATTCACTTAGCGTCCGAAATGCAACAGGCAATTCGCTTGTAGTAGTGATGGCATCAGTGCTCGATCATGATGCAGCCTGCTAATAAACCTATTAGCAACATGACGGTCCGGCCCAGCCGGAGATATCATATGCAGCTTCTCCTTCAAAGCAATCATTGAACATGCGGGCCAGCAGCACATGCTTCTTTGTGTCAGTAGTTGCGATGTGCAATTGTGGCTGCAATTTGGAAAAATGGACCAAGTCACTAAGTCTGTACCATGGGGTTGGACACTAATCTAACAAGAGAAGATATTTTAAAGGTAGAGTATTAGGACAACAATAGAATATAAGCGTAATGCCAAAAAGGCATGTTTGGACCTTCATGGGCTCATCCACAAGTAACGTTAAGTCAGCAGACCAAGTGTCCGCTTTGCGGTAGAAAGGCTCGAGGCAGGGATGACGACGTTAGCATGGGACCAATGCTTATGAAGGCATACGCTGCGCACAGTTTTGAAAAAGCACTCACTGTCGTCATCAGAATGCGCTGAAGCAATGCACCGAAGTGATACAAAAGCAAAGATACGGTCGTGGTATGCTTCAATGCACAGTTTTCGAAGCAGGCCAAGGCCCTTCATGTGTTCCGACCACGACGAACGCTCCACTTGTCATTTCAGACGACACTTCCCCAAAGTATTACCCCTGCAAGAGAGGTAGACAAACTCATTGACTTGTACCCCAAAAAGGATGACTTGCCAAAGTACTCCAGAGTTCTTTGCTTACACACTAACAAACACTAAGGGACCTTTGAAGCATATGGCAAACATCAACTACCATACACTCATCACTTGCAGACAGTCCTTGTAGACAATCCTTGTAAAGGCGAAAGCTAATGCCTTACCTCTTCCATACGATCCGTTTCCTTGGCTTGGGCTCCTGTACCGTCTACCAAGATATCGCTAGGCAGTTGGCCCGATCGCAAGGCCTGCAATACGATTCAGATTGCAAGTCGCTTGAGTCGTCGATGATCAGAAACTCTCACACAGACGGCTGTGCAACCCTCACATGTCCAATAGGCACCGATGTAGAGAAAAGCCGACAAAATGAGAAAACAAACGTTCAATGGCCCAGCCTGCCTGCTTACGGCTCTGCGAACTTAGCTCCAGTTCGCAACCTGAACGCACAAATGGAGCTGTACCCTTAAATGCAGCACCTTTCGCAGGCAACATAACGGAAATCATCAGCTCGACTAGTAAATCTCAAAAGTGCGAAGAATTGGCAGAAGGTACGAAGACGAGAGAATTGAAAGGAGTGACGGGCAACACATTCGCTACACTTAGCAGCAGTGATTCTTGAAAAGCAGTGGGCCAATCGAGCCGCAATCAAGAATCTGTGAGCAGCCTGTTGTAATCGGTGGCCGCTTGATGCAATGCGATGCAATCGCCATTGGGCTCTTGCAGCATAGGCACACTCAGTTTGCAAAATTTATTTGTTTGCTGAAGAATTCTTCATGTGTCAAAGCGGGTGGCACATCCGTCTCATAACGTCACTGCACTGACATGACAGCAGTGCTCACGAGAAAAGTAGACCAAGGTCGACAACCATCTTAACGAGTTGCGGCTCCCCACGGCACTCTCAGCTCCAGTATAAGGCATCGAGTCTCAACAAGCAGATACAAGGGGATCGCAACTCCGTGTCGACGAGTAACACTTCCAGGAGACAAGAAGGAAGTGGAGCAAATGTCAGGCCCACCTTTTCAAGACGCGTCACCTCTTCCAGGGTCTGTGCAGTGGCGATTGCAGCCTGCCAAGAGGAAAAGGGTGACGTCAGTGCTGGTGTCTCGGATCATTGGGCTTTCCTGTGGTTTAGGTGTCAAACGGGCTGACACATAAAGCGACAACAGACGCACTTGAACGACCGATGTTCCAAATAAGATTTCAACTCATAGCATGTTTAGTGGCGAAACGCGTCAAAAAGCTGCTGAAGACGTACTGGAAGCTGGTAGAAAGTGGAAACCAATGCGATTTCAGCAGTACTTTAGTACCATACGCGGACAACAAAAAACTGTGCTACTGGAATGGACCTCAACATGAGAGAGATACCGAAGGCTCAAGAGTCTTGCTAACGATTTCGTTAATCTGAGTAGCTTATTCCACTTGACCCCGCTGTTCCTTCTCGCTTCCAAGAGAAACCGTTCTTAAACTTCTGGGCAAATCAATGTACACAATCAAAAACGATTAACTGTGCTTAGCCTGCTCGCAACCAGTTCGTTATCCATAACAAGGACAAACAACACCAAAATCGACAGAACAGGAAGAAAAAACGGGCTTCAGTTCAGCTCTCCGCAGCAAACGCAGACGCTGAGCTAAGCTGTTCAACAGATGAACACGGCCAGAGACGCCAAACAAGACACGTAGACACGTAGACACGACTTCGATGTCACACCTCAGCCTGCTTCGCTTCTTTCCGTTCAACCGCGAACGGAACGGCTTACTTCGCTCATGAGCAGATCCCCAGTGCCTGATGATCGTCACAAATCGCAACATGCAGCTCTCGTCACCAACAGAGTCAGCCAACTACTCAAAAGCGAACGGCATATTCACCACCATAAAACTGTCGACAGTCGCGTTTCGTCTTGCAACAAATATTCGTGGAACGCCATACCCAAGGAAACCGGTTCGGAAAATCAAACTGACCGCGAGCGCCTCACCTTGATAGCTGTAATCTGTTCTGGCGTGGGGCCCGTTTTCTTCGGCTCCTCTGTTTTCTCCGCCCCCTCGGTCTCGATGCCCTCCCCGGGCACAAACGTCTTTGCCGCCTCGGCCTGCTCCTCTGCCGACCCCCCAAACGCTTTTTGCGCCTCAAGCCGTTCCTGCACCAAGGTAGGAACGTACAGAGGTTCTGCTTATTTTCAAAAAGAAACCGGTGCAACGATGAAGGAAAGGTCTGGTGTTCGCCGCCTCGCCTGCTCCTTTGCCGAACCCCCAAGCGCTTTCTGCACCTCGAGCCGTTCCTGCACCCAGGCATCACCGTATAAAGGTTCTGCTTATTCCAAGGAACACCGATCAAGAAAAGGTCTGCATAGTCAAACGCGTAATCGCCTGGTAAAAAATCGCAAGCATGGCCACCGAAGAAGTTGTACCAAAAGTGGGCGTTGTAAGCGCGCTTGCAATCGGACGACTCGGTCCACCCAACTGGCCATCGCCAAAGCGGTGCAAGAAGGTGGATGGCTGTGGAAATGATACTGTCGGCGTTGGATTCGCCATCCAACAAGCCCGTATACCCAAGTGATATTCTGGGAGCTCGCTGGAACAACCTCAACGAATGACTCCGGCTGCAACATTCCTGATAATCATGCTGGCGCATGAACCTCGTGATCCGTTCGCTCCGGACCAAAATAGGGACAAAGCATGTCAAAGCGGGCGTGCCATGCATGGCTAACGAAGGTCTTCGTCTTGCTGAAATCGTGACTACAGATTGTCAATGCCTTTAGCCCTAGCGGCTGATGTCACTCAAATGTCAGAGCCCAAACCACAAGTCTGGACTGAAGAAGGCCAGGTCGTTCAAAAGGTTTGATCGATGCTCTTACGACCACTGTACATGCTACGGAAGTGTAGTGTCGACTTAGAGCTTCTGGGTTCTTGAGGACTCGCGAGCCAGAGGTCTGATGTGCGGATGCGTCGAATGGTGACTGCCGTTTCTAAAACAGAGGGAGGGCTTCGAGAAACACAGACCGTCAGCGTCTTTCCGTCAATTTGAAGTATTTGAAGTCGACATTTCGTTGTATTCAAAAGAGCTCCACAAGAACCCGACCGTCAGCCTCTCACCGGTTGTTTGAACTGTCCGCACTCGAGAAGTCGCAGTCGCAGTAAGAAGAGCTTCAAAAGAACCAGACTGTCGGCGTCTCACCTTTTGTTTGATCTTTTTGAAGTCGAGCAGCCGCAGGCCCGGACACCGGTGGATGACGTACAACCGGTACTGCGGTTTTTTCGTCACCTCGTTGTCTAGAAGGCTCAGGAATTGCAGTTTTGGGAGGGTGGCGAGCGGGTCTAGGTCGGGGAGGTTGACAAGCTTGTTGGTCGTCAGGACAAGCGTCGTCAGTTTTGGAAGGGAAGCTGCACAGGAAGACGCTTGACTTCAGGGCCTGCTTAATGCTTGTATGCTCGCCGTAGATCTTTGGTGAAATTTCCACAATTGAAACAGGGCGAAACGATTTTGAGGGGATTGACGATCTTATCAAGTGGTAGGGTGAATACTGACAGATACAAGAGCAGCTGCATATTTGAAAAGTGTGGAGACGCTCGCGAACGTGGGGGACCGCCTCGTATGACTCCGTGCTTCTTGCCGAAACGAAATGCTTGAAGCTTGCCCGTTGTCAGGACGCACGTCAACCATTCTAGGAAGCTTCAAGCACGAAGCACCTGCGGTGGACAAACATTGTGATTGCAGCCTGATTCCTCACAAGCCCCCTTCAGCCCCTATCCCTGCCCGCAGATATGTCTTTACCCCCCTCCTCAACCGCAGACTGCCTAAATTGCTACAACAGTTGGAAACAGAGGCGTACGAAGCATGAGGCAAGACGCAGATTGGCAAAAGCTGGTCCCGGTAGCTAACAAGGTGCCACCTTGTGACAAGCAAACAGGAGTGTGACCACAGTCACACCTATATGTCCTAGGCAGAGACACCAAGGCCAGCAGGAGCATTCACGAAAGACCCGAGTCTGCAGCCTACTTAACATATCAAACACGTCCTATTGAGGAGTATGTACCTCCAGTTCTACGACTCCGCATGCTATGCGCCAAGGATATGTGGTGACAAATAGAGTCGCCCTGGCGTTGAATTCAATTGCACTTGCGCTAAATCCAATTGCACTTGGTACAAACAATCGGTTTCCAAGCATGCCGTCCAAAATTCATTATCCAGGTAAGCAATCCCTCAAAACCTCATACAAAGAGACCAGGAACCTCTTGTGCAACGCTTCATTGATGCTCCGTTGACCGCAGCGAACCTTTATTTGCTGTTACGTCCACTGGTAAATTACCATGTTTGTGCTTTGCTTTGATCGATGATATGGACTTTGAAGATTGGCTGACCTCACCTCCGAGATTTGCATGGAGCCTTGCTATTCGGTTGTTGTTGGCTAGGAGCGTGCTGAGTCTCCGGAGTAGAGGGAAGCCCTCCAGTTTCACTATTTCATTATCCGAAAGGTCGATGCTGTCAAATTGATCCTGCCACATCGATGTAAAAATTTATTGATAAGAGTTGCAAGAATTGCCGCCAAAGTTGATGACCAAGCAATACGATGATAGATCTCAAAGAACCAGCGGGGAAAGCAGACGATGGCACGGCCACTTCATATTCTTCTGACCTATTGCTGGTGGCGTTTGTGACCGCATAACGAACCTGAAGTCAACGAACAGGTTTGCATCAATGGCCCTAAGAACCTCAAGCAGATGGAGCACACCAAACAGGAGAATGTGGACCAGGACTGCGCCCCAACAAAGATCAATAGGAAGGGAGGCCACAGGCAAGGGGTTCATTGTACATATTCAACCGCCACTGTCATGCTGACGGTTGCTGAATGCGGAAAGATTCACTTGACAGATAATCAACGAAACAACTGAAAGTTTGGGAGACTGACCTCAGTGGCTCCGAGGTTCTCCACGACAGCAATTTTGCTTCCTGCAAAAGTGGCTTGGTGGTAGGATGAAATTCGACGTCCCCAAACTCGAAAAGCATCGCTTCAGGCAGAACATGCCTCCAAATGCAAACGCTTGCGAAGCGCAGTCATTTGAAGACTGCGAGCTCAGGTGCAAATTCTTGATGGAAAAGAGGCCCTGACCCCCTTCTTCAATCCCCTTACGACAATTAAAACCGCAGGGTTAAATGAAGCATTTAGGGTTTGACCAAACAAAATCTCACCAATGCAATCTGCTCCTGGTATCAGCAATTGGCTACATCTGGTAGATTCTTACAATTCATGACTGAAGTTGACTCCTTGTCATGCCAACACGAAAATCATGAGAGCCGCTGGCATTCTCCCCTTCTCATTCAGAACGGACCATTACCAGAATCCAAAGATATATACTTCTGCGCATGCTTGAGAGATTGATGGAGAAAGATCCATGTTTTAGAAAGCATCCAAACATTCACGACCGCGTTGCCTAACTCAGTCATCAATTTTCAGATATGTTAGGAACTGCGCATTGGAGACCTACTTACCACGAAGATCAAGCTCCCGCTCCTTGACTGCATTGAAGTACTGGGGCGACTGCAATATCAAGTCTGCAGTAAGTCGGACCATGATCCTCCGTGTTTATCAAAAGGTTTGGCAAATGCAGAACACAGGCCTACCTAATTGAAAAACGACCTTATCTGAGGTTTTGATTACCTGCCTAGATTGGATCACCTAATCCAAATTCCTACTTCCACTGATTGCTGCTCCTAATTTTCGAGCAACGAAGGGCTGAGCAGGAAGAAGCACCAAAATTGATCGCCCCAGGGCCTTGCTGCCTACCTATTTTCTGCTTTGCCTGTACCTACTGTGAAATCTGACTGACATCGACTCATGGACTTTGAGAGTGAGTCTTCAGGCATTCTCTGTCGAACCATTGGCATTGCTCTCAAGTGAGTGTGAATAC